ACTTTCCTCAAGTGGACAGTGTCATGCCCTGACGCAAGAGGCTCAGAGTTGAGGAAAACACCACAGCTAGTAAAATAGATCGATGGGAATCAAGCCAAAACCTACTATAAAACTCCCTTTAAAATGGCAACAAGAGTTTTAAGTAGCAAATCCCAGCAGTAACTTCTACTAACATTACAATCAGAAGGCCCCCACCCCTTTTTTTGGGTTTTCAAAATTTTATTTAATTAAAGCAATACAAACATGCATACTGAAAGATATATTACATAAGAACATAAGAGATGCCAATGTTGGATCAGGCCAAAGGCCCATCCAGTCCAACACTCTGTATCACACAGTGGCCAGAAATACCAGTGCCATCAGGAGGTCCACCAGTGGGGCCAGGACATTAGAAGCCCTCCCACTGTTGACCCCCCCAAGCACCAAGATGACAGAGCATCACTTGCCCCAGAGTTCCTATCTATACCTTGTGGCTAATAGCCACTGATGGACCTCTGCTCCATATGCTTATCTAATTTCAATCAATTTCAACTCAGTATCTGTATATTGCACATAACTAGTCTTGTACTCAGTCTAATCTACTTTTCACTTCTAAAACTTATATGATAAGAGCTCAGCCTAAACACCTGTGAATCAAAAATGTATCCATTCCAGATAGTTACGATTTGAGGGTAGTAGATCATTTCCCACGAAATATGTGATCAAAGGGAACCACCTGCGCACAGATTTTGTATGAATCAGAAGGCCCCTTGAACAAGAGCCCTCTTCAGCTACAATGGTATAAAGCCAAAGGAAATGGTGCCAGGTGAACTTCCCTTAGGAAGGCATAGTGCTACCACAAAGAAGACCCTTTCTCTCACTGTGCTTCAGATGGTGGCGGAACATGGAGAAGGACCTCTGATTTTGGGGGCCCCTGGGCAGAGAGTGCCAGGACCCCCTTTTCTCCTCTGCCTACCTCCAGCCCCCCCTTGCTTCCCTTCCTACCCACTGACCCACACACCTGTGTATCCTTCCCCCCACCCCTCATGAGCCCTACCACCACCTGCACCCACCCACGCACATGCCCATTTCCTGACAATGCCGGGCAGTGTGTACGGCAGGGAGCACAGAGGGCAGACTGCTTGCAGGCAAGTGGGTGGGGAAGGGCAGATGGGCAGCAGGGGCAGGGCGTGGTCAGTGGCGGTCAGCCCTGGGCCCTGACAGCTGCCCCCCCCCCGCCTCGGGGTATGCTGAGGCTGGTCCTGCCGATTATCAGCTTCAGGTACTAGGAGCTCTGGATGGAACTAGAAACGTCACCCAGCTTAGCAAACAAGAGTGTTGAGATTCGGAAGTTCCTGCTTCTGCCACAGTCACCCATCACTTGGGGGTTCAACTGCTGTCGAGATATCAACAAATATAAATAATAATAATAATAATAATAAAAAAAAGCGATATCAACAAATTAGGGATATCAACAACAGAAGAAGAAGAAGAAGAAGAAAAGGAGGAGAAGGAGGAGGTTGGATTTATACCCCGCCCTTCACTACCCAAGGGAGTCTCAGAGCGGCTTACAAACTACTTTCCCTTCCCCTCCCCACAACAGACACCCTGTGAGCAGTGTTCCCTCTAAGCTGAGTTAGTGTGAGCTAGCTCACAGTTTTTTAGCCTCCTGCTCACACATTTTTGTCTTAGCTCAGGAAGGATGGTTCCAGAGCAAACTAATTTATGCAGTAGCCAAATCACTTGCTCATAACTTTAATGCCAGTAGCTCACAAAATAGAATTTTTGCTCACAACACTCCACAGCTTAGAGGGAACATTGTGCTGTGAGGTGGGCGGGGCTGAGAGAGCTCTGGCAGAAACTGCTCTTTTTCAAGAACCGCTGTGCCAGAACTACGGTTTGCCCAAGGCCATCCAGCCAGGTGCAAGTGGAGGAGTGGGGAATCAAACCCGGTTCTCCCAGATTAGAGTCCGCGCACTTAACCACTACACCAAACTGAAAAGGCTCATAATGTCAATGCACAAAAGGGCACATCTGTACATCCCGATACAGGAAATGTATTTTGATTAGGGATGCTGCACTGTACCAGCAGACGGGCCTGAAGGCGCTTGTGCCCAGCTCTGTCTAGCTATTCTGCGTAACTGGAAAACACTATTGGGCGGTGGATGCATAAACCTTTGTGCAAGATGGCTAGGAGTTCAAGAACCGTTATTGAATCTTTCCTTCTCCCATTGTGTAACTAAGAACGCATCATATAGACAGGTACTTGCCCCATTCCAGTTCTAGCTGTGCATAGATTAGATATTTACATGTGCTTGGTGGCAGGGGTCATTTCATAGAAAAAGAGGTGTAGGAGCTCATTAGCTTAAATTATTAGCATAACTTGATGGTATATGACACCCACCCCTGACATCACCGGAAGTGTGACATCACCGGAAGGCAACACCCACTGCTCAGACTCCACTGGACTGTTTTGGATTGCTAGGTATTGGGGGGGGGGGAATGACGTACAGATCTGTCCTCACAGAGGACTGAGAGCTTGTACCTGAATAAAACTTGGTCGTAAAGGGGCCACTGGTCTGTTTTGGATTGCTAGCTATTGGGGGGGGGGCACACAGATCTGCTCTCACAGAGGAGGGAGAATGTGTTCCTGATGGGGGGGGGGCTCTGCAACTTACCTGGTTGCTTCTTGCTCCTTGTGGCCTGACTGAGGGCTGCTGGGAGCAGGGGGCGGGGCTTGCTGCATGTGCCTACCCCCTGGGCTCCTTACTGCCGGAGCTCCACTCCTGTGCGCTCCCGCAGGGAATGACCCCTGCTTGGTGGTGATGCGCATCCAAAATGCACCCTGCCTTGAAAGCGATGGCACGAATCCACCCCCCCATGCTTATGCCATTTTCTGACATTTTCAAAGGGTAGACATTTTAAACTCTTTTAAAGCTGACTTGCTACCACCCTGAACCACTCTGGCCTTCCCTCAACGCACAGAAATGACAAACAAAACCAGGGCTCTCTCCGTAGCAGTGTCTCCATCATCTCGGAAACTTCCGAGGTTCCTCTTCCTTTAAACAAAATGTAATTATTTTGGGGAGGCTGAGCATTCCCCACTCTTCAGTATGGGAGGGAACACAAGAAGAGCCCTGTCAAACCGAGATCTACTAGTTTGGTGACCTGTTTCCCCCAGTGGCCAAACAAATGCCCCCGGAAGGCCTCCACAGCCACTGGTATTAGAGGTGCGCTATTTCTGAACAAGCCCTGAACTGGATGGCCCAGGATAGCCCAATTTTGTGAGACCTCAGAAGCTAAGCAGGACCAGACCTGGTTAGTATTTGGATGGGAGACCACCCTCAACTCTCTCTTCCTGCTGCAGATCCTCCAATTTGCCCACGCTGTTCCTGAGTGTTCCCTACCCACCCAAAGCGGCATTTTGGGGAGATGAACAGTGTTCAGTTTGAGGAGGGAGGCAAAAGCATTCTATTCCACTGACAGAAGTGCCTTGTGTGAGTGGGAAATGAATCCAACACTTTATCTCTTCCACCCTTTGGGAAGTAGGAAAACATGTTTTCGTTGCACCAGTTTTTTGGGGGCACGAGCTCATATATATCTGCTGCTGATTTGTTTCCCTGCTGATTTTCACAGATCCTCGTGCTGAACTGCAAAGAGAAACTTCTGATGTTGTCTGAGCGGGCTGATCAGCAGGCTTGCAAGATATTGGCCCCGTTCACACGGAGGATTTGCCACGCTAAAGGCACGAATGTCAGGAGGATTTTCGGGACGCGATCACACCGCAACATCTGGGAAGCGTAGCGCACCCGTGGCCAACCCGTGGCATCCCACCGAAGATGCGCAGTAAAAAACTACCTCGGAAAGTGCACTAGTTTCCGGTAAATGTGGGGCAGGGGCGGGTGTCTGATCGCGGGAGCACTAGTATCCCGTGGCATCCGGCGTCCGTCCATGTCCCGTCGCAAACCGGATGTTTTTCGTAAGCGCATGCGCACAAACACATAACTGAAAGCATTGCTGCTCTGCGGAACTGCGCATGCGCACAAACGCGAAACGCTTGACACGCCACTTCTTTGCCACGCTCCAGCATCGCTGTGTGATCGCCAGCTAACAGCCTAAGTGCAAAGACTCGGGGGACTGTGTGATTGGGCTACCGCGCTTTATTTTGCTCCGGGGCAAACGGCCACGCCTCCCCCCCCCCGCGTTATCTTTCTCACTTAACTTCAAAACAACATCAAGTAGCAGTTTCTTTCAGAGTGGTTTTTAAAAAAATTTGGACAGCTGAGCCAGCACCCGGGAAAACATTTGGAAACGCCCATTCCCTTGTGATGGCTCAGCAGCGACCGGGAAGCAAATCTGCGTGGACACTGGGCCAGGCTATAGGCACGTCCTGGTATCCCTGGCAATATCCTTGGTGATTCTGGTTGTCCCTCTGCTTACGTGTGTGTGTGTGTGTGTGTGTAAAAAGTGCAATCAAATCACTGTTGACTTCCAGCAACTCCAGGGGGTTTTCAAGGCAAGAGACAAACAGAGGTGGTTTGCCACGGCCTGCCTCTGCATAGCGAATCTGGACTCCCTTGGTGGTCTCCCTGCTTAGCTAACCCTGCTTGGCTACCGAGATCTCACAAGGTTGGGCCAGCATGGGCCATTCAGGCCAGGCCTATGTCACTCTCCTTGTGCGTACTCTTTTGCGCGCGTGCGTATCTCACATCAAGGCCTTCCCAATCCGAGACTGGCCGAGAGGGACCAACTCTAACCTACCAAACCGTCCTCACCTCTCCAGTTCCGCACGGCGTCCAAACCAGACAAGGAGATCCGTCGTGGCACCAAGGCCCCCTGAGCTCCACCGATCCTCACGTGCCCGTTGTGAAGAAGCCCGCCGGACAGCTCTTCCGCCTTCCTGTCTGAGAAGTGTGTCGGCTTCGGAGGCCTCGGTGGCGGCGTGTTGGCCAGCGCGTCGAGTTCAGGCATGCCGTAGGGAAGGGTGGTCTGGCTTTTATCGCCCAGAAGGGTTGGTGTTAAGGGAGGTCCGGACAAGGGAGAGGAAGAGGAGAACTCACTGGAAGAAGGCCTGTTGGTGTCTGTGCTCCTGGAAGGGACCCCTTGACTGGCTGGCTGTGCCGCCTCCTGCAGCAGGCTGCCCGATGGCTGTAGGCACAGCGAGGGCTGAGAGGCCACAAAGTCAACAAAGACGTCATCCGATGAGATCTGCTCCAAGGATCGGTCAGAGTTGGACCAGCTGTGGCACCTGGAAGGAAGACATCAGACGCAAAGACACCAAGCTTTGTCACTCTTTTTATTTGTCAAAAGACATCCTCATTGTTTTGCATGCAATTTTAATGACTCACCCCCAACCTATATGTACAACTGTGATCTGTACTTCCACTCCGGTGTCTGACGAAGTGTGCTTTGCACACGAAAGCTCACCCCTTGAAATAAACCTTTGTTGGTCCTAAAGGTGCCGCTGGACTCTAAGGGCGATTTCGCACTTGAGCTGCCTTGTGGCGCAGCCGCCGTTTGCCCCGACACTATTTGTCAATTTCACACCCGAGGCTGCGGGGCTGCATTTGACCCGTGGCTTCGCCCGATTTCCTCCGCAGTTTTGTGATCCTCAAAAACCAGGATCATGAAACTGCGGAGGAAATCGGGCAAAGCCGCGAGTCAAAATGCAGCCCCGCAGCTTCGAGTATGAAATTGAAATGTTTGTGTTGGGGCAAACGGCGGCTGCGCCGCAAGGCAGCTCTAGTGCAAAATCGCCCTAAGTTTGTTCCGTCGCTGTGGCTACCCCCACCTAGAACCCTAATCTGTTGTTGTTGTTTTTCTGGGACAGCAACAGCCTGGGAACTCACCCCCTCGCACCAGCCGAATGATTCCAAGCCAATTTTATTGTATTTTCACATTTCGTTCTCACTTAACTTCAAAACAACATCAAGAAGCAGTTTCGTTCAGAGTGGTTTTTAAAGAAAATCTGGACAGCTGAGCCAGCACCCGGGAAGACATTTGGAAACGCCCATTTCCCTGTGATGGCTCAGCAGTGGCCGGGAAGCAAATCTGCGTGAAGCACACTGGGCCAGGCCATAGGCACGTCCTGGTATACCCGGCAATATCCTTGGTGATTCTAGTTGTCCCTCTGCTTACGTCCTGCACCAGCAGTGCAAAACCGTGGTAAGTGAGACAGGGTGATGCAGAAGGACTCTTTCGCAGGCCCCTCCTACCTGCTTCATTTATACCCTGCTTTTCTACCCAATAGGAGCTGCGGTGGCTCAAGTGGTTAAGACACTGAACTGCAGGCTGTGGAAGGTCGGTAGTTCAGCAGTTCGAGCCCTGAGTGTGCCGCATGATGGAGTGAGCTCCCGTCTCTAGTTCCAGCTCCTGCCAACCTAGCAGTTCGAAAGCAAGAAATTGCAAGTAGATAAATAGGTACCACTTCGGTGGGAAGGTAACAGCGTTCCGTGCGCCTTGGTATTTAGTCATGCTGGTCACATGACCACAGAAACGTCTTCGGACAGCGCTGGCTCTTTGGCTTTGAAACGGAGATGAGCACCGTAACCCTAGAGTCGGATTCGACTGGCTTTCAAGCAAGGGAACCTTTACCTTTACCTTTTTTCTACCCAAAGGGGAGAACAGTCTCCCCTGTTGAAATTAAATCAGAAGGGTTTTCGGCTAAACATCAGGAAGAACTTCCTGACAGAGCGGTGCCAAACTGGCCTGGAGAACAGTTTCTTCCTGACCCCAAAGTGGCATTCAGCATTTCCCTGGGCCATCTGAACTGCACTGCTGAGTCTGTGAACTTGGGCAGATCATGAGAGGGAGGGCAGGAAGGGTTGTCTCAGTGCTTAGTTCTCGCGGCCCTTTCTTACACGCCCCAGGGAAATGCTGACCGCCACTTTGGGGTCACAAATACATTTTTCTCCATGTGTGTGTCTGTGTGGGGGGAGGTATTTGTGAATTTCCTGCATTGTGCAGGGGGTTGGACTAGATGACCCTGGAGGTACCTTCCAACTCTTTGATTCTATGATTCTCCATTTTTATCCTCACTTATTGAAAGTGTGCCTGCACACAAAAGCTCAACCCAGAATTAAATGTTGTTGGTCTTAACCAACCACTGCACTCACACCTTGTTCTGTTGCTTCAGACCAACACAGCTTCCCGCCTGAATCTATCTGTGAGGAAGGTTAGGCTAAGAGACCGAGTGGCTGGCCCAATGTCACCCAGTGAGCTTCCATGGCAGAGTGAGGATTTGAACCTGGGTCTCCCAAATACTATTCTGACACTCTAACCCAGGGGTGTCAAACATGCGGCCCGGGGGCCGGATCAGGCCCCTGGAGGGTTTCTATCAGGCCCGCAGTGTCACTATCAGGCTGTCTTCTGCTTCTTCTTCCAGTTCTGCTTCTGCTGCGTCATTGTAGGTTTGCAGCTTACAGATATACACCCAAACAACATACTTAGAATTGCAACAGCACAGACATTTTGATGTAATAATTCAGAGCAAGAGGTGTCAGTGCTAATGTTTTAAGCATGTTTTTATTTTAAGTAAAAAAAAGACCCGTTTGTGTTTGTGTCTTTTATAAAGTTTATATCTCTGCTACCTGGCATTGCATTTTATGATACACATGGCCCCGCCCAACAAGGTCTCATTTATGTCAGATCCGGCCCTCATAACAAATGAGTTCGACACCCCCTGCTCTAACCACTACACCACCCTGGCTCTCAAAATCAAACAAGCAAGGTCATCTTTGGCTCTGCGGCTGTCTGTTATGCAAGACGGTTCAAAGGACAGTGCTGAGAGTTACAGGCTTCAAATACCTGATGTGGCTGAGTTTGCCGGTCTCACAGTTGGACAGAAACAGGTAGTCTGGCAGGAAGAGAGACTCGGACTCGCTTGCGGTCTCCTCGGCAGCAGAGGTGTCGGTGGTGGCCTGATCGGCAGATGAAGACGGGTCCGTGATCCTCAGGGCGTGGGCAGAAGCGGCTGGCGACGGCTGTGGGGAAGAGGTGGTGTGGGACAGGCTGTCCCCCGAATCTGCAACAAGCAAGAAAGGATCGAGATGGGGAGCCATGTTAGTCTGTCCGCAGCAGTAGAAAAGAGCAAGAGTCCAGTGGCACCTTAAAAGTAACTAAATCTGTGGCAGGGAGGCTCACCAAGTGGCGGTTGGGGATCCGCATGTCTTCACAGCGCGTAGCGTCACATCCTGGCGACGGCGGGTGCAACGCGTATCGCCGTCCCCACAGCAGGGATCTTGTGAAGATATGCAGATCCCCCGCCGCCACTTGGTAAGCCTAGTGGCAGGGCAGGAGCTTTCGTGAGTCACTGTTCACTTCTTCAGGTACGAATCATCTGAAGAAGTGAGCAGGGACTCACAGAAGCTCCTAGCCTGCCATTAATTTTGTTAACCAAAAAAAAAGCAAACCCCAAGAACTCGACAGAAGTTTTCAGGGCCTTGATTCCGCAGAGGGATGACTCTGCCTCAGAACGTGACAGGAATGTGCGGCCTTCACAGGATCCGTTGTCCCTTATACCTGCCACCTGCTTATTCAGTGGAATTCCAAAAACAACCTCCGTGACAAAAACAACGAAGAGTCAACAAAGGTAAGTTGCAAAAACGTGAGCGATAATAGAAGAAAATCTTCTACAGAAATTACTACCGTAAACGTTTTTGCAACTTATCTTTATTGACTCTTCGTTGTTTTTGTCACGGAGGTTGTTTTTGGAATTCCACTTCCTCCCGTGAACTCTCATTTTTGGCTTCACCTGCTTATTCAGGGCTGCTGGAACAAGCTGGAAACATGAGGTCAGTGCTGGAAAAGGCCTGATCTGAAACCACCCAGGACAAACTGGCTCAAACAGTAAGTCCTGGAGCGGGGCATGCACTTGACTTGTGTGCCATTTTCTTTATGGGAAACATTTTTAAAAAACCTATCCCATCCCAAAGTAGGAGCCGCACTGGTCCACCACAAAACTCCAAACCAACAGACACATGGCCTCAAATAATAAGAGGTATGATGTGGCCTTTATTTTGCTTTGGACCAATGCAGTGGCTCAGTTTTCAACCTACTTTGGGAATCCCCAAATTTTGTGGCGAGTCATGCTAGCAATGAGCACAATGTCATGTGGACATTTTCCTCTTGTACGTGGGTGGCTTCCTGCTTTCCATGTGGGGGGGAAA